AACCAACAAGAAATTAGGTCAAATGATAAGGCAGACAGTTAATCGATTTAAAACGATAAGAATCGAATGAATCGCGATTTCTATAGCGATTCAATGCTTTCAAAATATATACACATTAAATTACTACAAGCACTAATTAATGGAGATCTTGAACAGTGTTCGTGCCCTCGCATCACTCCTTCACGCGCTCCACTATTTACCGCCTGTGACTGTCACAAGATTGCGCTCGCACTCCGTTCGTCTCACTGACACATTTTTTGAGCAGCTGATGTGTGATCTCTCGAAAGCTGCACATTTATTGCATGGACGGAGCAAAAATGTAAGTGTCTAAAGCATACGCACAGTTCCATTGAATGATATGTAGTATATAAAACAATCATAAAATTGCCATTAGGAAAAAAATATAGATTACAAATGATTGATTATTGTCCAGCAGTGTATTTGATTTCTTATAGCAAATTCAAAGTAAGAGATAAGAAAATAATTCCTTGTAAAAAAATAAATAAATAATACATGTATACATAAAATTATTTTATTCGACATTTCTGTCACTTCTGAAATGATGGCTACGCCCCTGGTGTGACAAAATGTTAGTCTATACATAATACTTTTAAAGCTCTTTTTTAAAATCTTGGCTTACATACATTTTTACATATGCCATGTCATGCCATAGCATCATTAAACTAGCATCTAACAATGGACAAAAGTTTTTTTTTTTTTCCTGTAACCTATGGTTCTCTAACCATAAAGGCTGCTGTGTAATTTGCCCCCTGACTAAGCATTTAAAGAATTTAGGGGAAACATTTAAATAATCCTATGAATGCAGAATTGAATCATTCATCGAATCGAATCCAATTTAATTGTGAATCGAATCGAATTGAATCATTCTGAATTTGCAAAAAATTTTTCTTGAATCGAATCGAAAACCTATAAATCGTGAATCGAATCGATTCGAGGATGTCCTCATTTGTAAAAGTGTGTGTTTTGCAATTTGTGAACATACAGCAGGATACAAGGGAGAGGAACTGATCAGAGATTGATCAGAGATGTATCAGAAGAAGGGAGACAGTTGGCATCAAATACAGCATTTTAATACACAAATACACATATAATAAAAATAAGATGTGAATAAAATACACATGCATAAATATAAATAAACCACAAAAAAAGTTGTGCTATAGATAGAATAGGAATAAAAAAAAAAAAAAAAATTAAAATAAGTTGTAGGGATGTACTAGGATTTAGGGTGATAAATAAGTATAAGGTTATTGCACATACTTTTATTGCACAATGGGAAAACATTAACTGTTCATGAGGTAGATTGCCTGGGGAAAGAAACTGTTCTTGTGCCTTGCTGTCCTGGTATTCGGTGCTCTGTAACGCCGACCAGATGGCAAAAGTTCAAAAAGGAGATGGCTTGGATGTGATGGATCCAGAGTGATTTTCTGAGCCCTTTTCCTCACTCTGGATGTATACAGTTCTTGGAGGGTAGGCAGGGGAGCACCAATAATCCTTTCAGCAGTCTGAACCATTCTCTGTAGTCTTCTGATGTCTGATTTTGTAGCTGAACCAAACCAGACAGTTATTGAAGTGAACAGGATGGACTCAATGACGGCAGAGTAGAACTGATTCAGCAGCTCCTGTGGTAGGTTGAATTTCCTCAGTTGGCGAAGGAAGTACAACCTTTGTTGGGCCTTTTTAACAATGGAGTCGATGTGAGTGTCCCACTTCAGGTCCTGAGAGATGGTGGTTCCCAGGAATCTGAATGACTCCACTGTCGTTACAGTGCTATCCATGATGGTGAGTGGGGGGAGTGCAGGGGAGTTCCTCCTGAAGTCCACTATCATCTCCACTGTTTTGAG